ACATCTTCTCTGGAGTATTGTTTCTTTATTCTATCCTTACGATAACACATGGCGTCACGACACATGGAATCATCCGAAAGCACCTGTATGATACCACAAAACATGTCCTCCCCAACTGTCGAAAACACCTCCGCCTCCCTACGGTCCTACCGCAGCCACCTGTCAAGAGTCATCAATTCTTCAAACAAGGCGATCACGGACTACATCGATTCTCAGGATCCTACATCTCTGGTGGAAAGAAAGGAGGACATACGAAAATACTTCAGAAAGATCGAATCCCTTACCCTTATTATTCAAGACCTCGACCCCTTGAATGCCTCGAAATACGACGCGGATCTGACGAAAGATGGAGAGCGCAGCGACGAAGTCATCCACGCACTGTCCAAAGCCGCCAAAACCGTCACGATGCCGACTGCCGATTCTCGCAGACATCCCGGAACGTTTTCCCGTCGCATCAACGAATCGCTCAAGCCCGCAATCCTCTCGAAGGATGCCAGCCCGACGGAGATGAGGCACTGGATCGACGCTTTCAAATCCTACTATTCCTCAAATGACATGGATAGTTTCAGCGTACAAGAAAGACAATCTTACTTTAAGATATTGCTCGATGTGGATCTCAGGACCAGAATCATGGCGAAGATGAGCGACGACACGGACGTTTTCGGCAACGACGGCTGCATCGACCTCCTCGAGAAAGACTTCCTCGCACGGTATCCCCTTTTCTCCAGACGCCTCGACTTCTTCCAAAGCCAGCAAAGACCCGGACAAGCCTTTACCGACTTCCTCGCCAAGCTCAAAGAGATGTCCAAGCTCGCCGATTTGGAAAAGCTGTCCGTCGAAGAAATATTCGTTTTCTGCGCTCTCCGAGGCACCACCGACAGCGATCTCTTGGACGATCTCCTGGAATTGCAAGACAAGACTCTTAAAGATATCGAAAACGCGGCGAGCCTATATGAAAGCAAGCTTGTATCTCGATCCAAATTAAACGCGGCCAATAACGGAAACGACAAAGTTATGAGGATCTCCGCTCCAAACCAACGCCGATACAACGCGAAGCCCAAGCCGAAACACGATGTCAAACCAGATTCGAGCAAGTCCACGTTCAAGCGCCCAACCACTGTCCGCGGGATGAAGGAGCAGGGACTGTGCACAAGATGCGGGAGAAACGGTCACAACCCCGGCGACTGCACATACGAAC